TTGTAGAAACTAGTGACAAGTGTAATATCATACAGACATGAAAGTGAGACGAAGTCACTACAATTAAAATAAATTACTTGAGTTAGTCCAGCCAGCAGATTTGGAGTGTGAAATAATTTAGCAAGTATTCCCATAAGTGTATCTAGCCTATAGTTGCCGCGTGATATTTTGATCCACAAGCAAATGGAAATGGTGAAGGCTTATGTTTAGTCACCATGCTAAAGTTATTGTTGATTTTTTAAAATCTAGGCATCCATTATGTTTTGAAGCATAATCTCCATTGCCTTGGTTTTTCAAAAGACACGTTTTATTTGACTACCGAAGGATGGCCAACAGCGGATTTGGCAGAAGGCAGAGTTTTATTTGTCTAGCTTTAATCTTCTTCAACAGCCTCAATCAGGCTTCTTTTCGGCACAACTGATCAAAGCTCACACAAACCTCGAGCATGCGCAGACATCCACAGTGTTTCAAAGTCGGACTTGTGAACCAGTTACTTGAGAAATCGTAGGGTTTCTAATGAACTTAGTTCACTCAGCTTCCTCTTCAAATTCTTTGGTGCTGGTAAGAGATTTTTGGTCAAAATATTCGGATCACTTTTTGATTTTCCCATTAGGCAAAACCTACTAATTTCATGATGCAGCCAGCTAGTATTTTTAAGTATGTAAAAGCAAGATGCGGTATATTTTCTAATCAAATTAAACACTTTAATAATGACCTTGTGGCTTTAGTCATATTGTAGTTAGGCAAAAAATTGGGAGAAAATGAACACACCCTTTTAAGTGAATGGAGTTATTTGCAAGTTTCAGTCTTTAAGTGTGACTGCATAAAAAGGACTTTATCAAAATTGATTCTAAAGCCAAGGCACCATTTCCTACGATTTCACTATGATCATAAGTGCGAAGGCATGATCACAGTTAAAAAAAACATTCTAGTCCGCCTTTTCTGTCCCTATATTTAGAAACACTTCCCTTAATGCAGTTTTGACATAATTTTTGGAAGTGAACAACGAGGTTACAACCACTAAGTGATGCCTAGGCTTATTATTATGATTACCACTTCACATGACGGAGGCAATTAAGTAGTTTTGATGGTTACTGCTTGCAGCACATTAGGTCTCGCCTCTATGCTTACAGTGGAAGCGAAGTGTTTGTGAGAACGCTAACAGGTGTGTGTCAAAACAAATGAGAAATATCCTGTCATATTCTTAGAACGAATGTGCTACCACCCCACCCATCATTTTGCCATGGTTGTGCTACTCAATTCCAAATTGTTAACGCCTAGTTTCCATTAATGGAAGGTAGGAATTCTTTATAAAGCTCAGATAGTTGCATCCTTTCTCAAAACATCGCCTTAGTTTTAGGTAGACAAATAGAGCATGGGAAAAAATGCATTTGTATTGTACATACGGCCAAAACCAGGTAGTACGTTGAATATAAGCCGACGCGTGCCTTCGGTGGCTGAACAACAGTGTAGAGATTTGCGACTGACCTTTCGCAAAAGTAATGGTAAGGCGTTGGAGGCCAGAGATATGGCTGAGCTTGTCTGTGCCATTCTTTTGGTGGCCATTGCCATTGACATCATCTACACCTTCTACACAAGGATCCGCAAGCAGGTCGGTTTTTTAGAGTTTATTTGCTCCGCATATTTGTATGTTTTGGAGCCATGATTTTTGCTTAATTAGCTTACCCTTTTGGTAGAGGACCATGGCTAAAGCTGAAGCCTAAGCCCCTTGCATTGGTATTCGCTCATTAAAAGGTACCACCACATGCAAATGGTTGCAATTGCATAACATTGCAACTTATTTGTTGCGCACTTTTGCTTTGATTTTGAGTTTGATTTTTTTAGTTTTTTTGACTATAGCAGGACGTCACCCTATCTGAGGCAACTATTATCTTACATTTTTTGTGTTATTAATTTACCAAATTGAAGATGTCCTGATTTATAAGTGCCTAGGGCATTATTGTGAAGGTGAACGAGAATAAAATGTAAGCATTACCTAACTACAATATTGATACGCTGCATGGACGTTTGCAATAATTTCATTAACACGGATGCTCACCTTTACACTCAATTATACGAGGAAAGGTTACACGAAAGGAGGGACCTTTCCGTAACTCACTAATCCGATGCTAAGTCATTATATGTTAACGCTTCCTTAATGTGCCACTGATTTACTTTTACCGTTTCATGCTTTTGCAGCCAAGAACGCAAAGTGACTCCACAGGCAGTTCTGATAAACCACATAATCTTGGTGTTGTCATCGCTTGCTACATGGCTCAAATCACATTTCCGACAACCATTCTACAGGCGGTGGTAAATGCAGAAACGGTAGAGCCTTATTCGAATTTTTTGATCGCTTAAAAAATCTCTCAAAGCCTTCGCTTGCTCAAAATTTTATTCTTGTATGTATTGAGATGACTTCGTAAACTAAAACTTTATAAAGAGAATCCAAATCTATTGGGTGCAATATCTTCTATATCATATTTAACTAGTTGCGATAAATCTTATGTTGTTCTATCAAATGCAACGACAACGAAAGCAATTCTTGAGATAATAAATGCACGATTACACTAGGTGGATGATTCCGTCCTTCATTAAAAGTAGTTACAGCCTAGTATGGTCAACTAGTAGAGTAGGCCGCCCGTTTACTACAGTTTGCATTTATTACATACTTGCAAAAATGGTTTTCAAATCATTAAAACAACTTAAACATAAAAATTTGACATTTACGTTTTGTGGATTTAGCACGGCATTGTGGGATGTGTTTATGTGCCGGCGAGCTCTGGGCTGGCCCACGCAATCTTCGCGTTGCTGTTCTTGGAATTTCGCACTAAAGCACCTGGAGCTCATACCATTGCTCAGTTTGTGGGTCATCGCTTTGGCGTAGCTGCCCATGTTCTCACAATCTTCATTAGTCTCTTCACAGCTCTTTACAACCTCACCATAAATGCATTTGGTGGGTAAAACCCTATATGTCTACCCACGTTTATCAGCGGTATGTTAAGCATTGCGCAGTGTAATCGGCAAGACCCAACTTTAGCACAACCGAGTTCTGTAGCAAATGCAAAGAAAAGGATGATAAAAACTTACAAACATTTTAGATATTGTCATACTCTTGATGAATTATAACAATACCTTCGATATTTAAAACAATAAGGCTAT